CAATGTACACATTTTGAGACCATGTTAGCAGCTTAGGTACTATTGTAGACGTGTAGCACTACCTCAAACCTTGCAGTATTTATGAAGTCATCACCCCTAGTTTTATTCTCTCCTTGTAAAAGCGACCATTAGGCATTGGATGCATTTGTTGCTCAAGTTCTCAGATGTCTCGGATATGGAGTTATTGTTTAACAGTTAGACAACTAATAAAAGAAAAGGTAAAATTTGACAATTTAGTCATGCCTTTACCTTGTGTCCTCTATCCTCAAGGACATATTGGTTCATTAAGGGCATATTGGTATTTTGCCTAATGTTATTTGCCCAAAACTTAGCAGTAGTAGGTTAGTACTCAATTGTAACTTCTTTGCCTAATGTTATATTGATACATGCCTAACTCTTTATGAAAAGAAAACTTTTTTACTTAATGTTATTCACGAGTTAATCAACTTGTCCTTCATTTCCATCTCACAATCATTAATTAGTAAAGAAACCCTGTTTTACCTACTTTCACATGTAGTTTCGAGTATGTAACTAGCTAATTGAGTCACCTAATAAAAAAAACTCAAAGGACTAGATTATCCTTGATTTCTCTTTATTTTACCTTCATGCTAACCAAGTTATCATTCCTAATTTATACGTTTATTTGTTTCTTTTACCCTCCAAGAAAAATCCAAAATGTACGCATGAATAAAACAAGAAAAGAAGATAAGAAGTAAGAAGAAAACTTACAGCCCAGTAATGGCGGTCAGATATATTCCAACCACCATTATAATACTTAAAACCATCTAAAGGATCCTTTCTATGAGTTCTTCTTGGTGCCAATGTCATCAACGAACTTTCTCCTCCGTAACCACCATACCCTTCTCCCACTCCTCCACCAATACTCGGCCCCTCCGAAATTCCCCTTTCACCCCCATTATTTGTATAATTTCCTTCACTTTCCCACCCTAAAAATTCAAGCAACAAAAAGTTATAGTAAGGGGTAAAATGGTAAAAACGATAACTAACCATAAGTCTTGTATCAGACGGTCTGACCATAATGTATTAGAAACGCGAAGAAATTACGTTATTGTATGTTGTTGGATTGTGAGACCGTCTAATACAAGAATTTACGAGATGGTACCTGGAGACGGAGGGAGTGAAGCGGGAGTAGCAACTACTATAAGTGTTAAAGTGAGCAAGTACAAGTATAGTAATGTAGGTAGGAGATGAATTGAAGTCACTACTTTACTACTACTACTAGTGTAGTGGTTTAGCATTATGAGTATTTTTTGCTCTGTTTTTTGAGCAGAGAAATGGTGAGAGGAAAGAAGAAACAATGGGGATTGGAGGAAAGGGATAGTAGAGAAGTGTGAAGTGATAGTGACTAGATAGTGTCAAGGTTAGGACTAGAGGGTGAGGATTGAGGAAACATGAACCCCACCACCAGGAAAGAATTTTTGGTTTTACTCAAATGCCCTTTTCCGATTTAATTTGTGCTATCGAAGTGGTTTTTAGGGGGTGTTCTCCTCAATTTATTACGTAATTTATATAGTAAAAAAAATAGTTACATGAGTATAAAACAAAATACGTTTTTGTAAGTTTGATTATTTGAGTAAATAAAAGAAAAATAAGTTCAAGTTATCTTAAATAAATGAAAAATTACATGCCTTCATCTAATAATTAGTTGATAATCGTTAGCTGATAAAATATGATGAAACTAGAATTATTTAACCATCTTTTTAAACTATTAACTACCAGCATATAATATATGTGTGTTTGGAGTTTATAAGTTGGTGAAACTAGTTATTTACAAGGATGTTTTGCTGATTAGTTGTTTACTTGCACTTTAATAAGTTTTAGGTCAAATATAAGGGTAAAAAGAATGATTTTGATGTAAAAGTTGCTAAAACCTATGGAAAAATAGTCAGGTCACACAATTAGGTGTATTTTATTCAAGCTTGCACAATTAATGCAACAATATTCATATAAATATACTTGTAAAGCATTCTTGTTAATTGATTTTGAGAAAGTGATGACAAATTTCGTTTATATTAACCCTTTAGTCCCTTTTATCTTCGTTTATGTAAACACAAAATAACTAAACCAGTAAGTTTATTCACAATAGTTTATGTTCTTGATACATGCATTCCATTCAATAAAATAACACTTTGAATCTTGATATATGCATTTCATTCAATAAAATAACACCTTGATAAATGCATTATTCACAATCCAATCAATTAAAAACAAGGGCATTTTGGAGAGCAATGGTGATGGAAAGTTGCAAATTTGTAGCCAAAAAAAAATTGAAAACTGAGCCTCAGAAGAATTGTGGGGTCCAAAAAGTTGAAAAAGCAATAAGACAAACTTTTGATAGAGCTCAACCTTCAAGAAAATCATGATTTTGTGTCTTTGTTGACTCCAATCAAATCCTTTTACATTTAGCAAGAAACAACACAACAAGATTCAGGCTTTTAGCCCAAAAAAATAACCGGGCCATAAATCTAAAAGCCCAAACAAATATCTGGGCTTTACATCCAAGAGCCCAAACAATAAACCCAAAACAGAACTAAGGATATTTCGGTAATTAAAATCAATTAGGGCTACTTCAGTCGGCTTACTATATAACTAAAATTTCTTTCATTTCCACTTCTTTCAAGCTGTATTAGTATTAGGGTTTCAGTGAGTGTGCCGTAACGATTTTCTCTCTCCTCGGAAAGCTTCTGCAAAACCCTAACAATGGCGGAACAGGTTTCTCTCTGTCCTCTATCTATTTCTTCGTAATGCTGTATTAAAATCAATTGAATATTTATTATTTTTCATTTTTTATATTGGTAGACGGAGAAGGCTTATTTGAAGCAGCCGAAGGTGTTCCTTTCGTAAGTGATCATCGATTTTTCTGTAATTTTCTGTTGAATTTGAGCTGCGATTTGTTTGAATTCGAGTTTTTTGAGGTTGAATTTGATTGAAAATTGGTCATTTATGGAAATCTGTAGGTCGAACAAGTCTGGTAAAGGAAAGAGACCTGGAAAGGGAGGTAACAGGTTCTGGAAGAGTATTGGTTTGGGATTCAAGACTCCTCGTGATGCCATCGAAGGTATAATCTCTTATGTTTTGATGAATTTTGGTTGTTGAAATCATCAATATGGTTGGCGTATTTTGAAAGCATTATATAATAATTGAGGTTGAAATAAGCTTGTTATGTGTATTTGTATAGTTCTATTAGTTAATGCTTTAAAATGTATGAATTGATGAACAATTATTTCTTGTTAAATGACTAGAATTAGTGTTTAAGTTTTTGTTAGGAGACTGAGTACTGGATAACTGTTGATGTAATGTGTGCTTTAGTTTGCTGTATTTTGGTTTAGTGTGAGATGCTGAATTAAATTTCAAGGAGATCGAATATCTCTGGCGGTTTTGTAGTTGTAGTATCAATAGTTTGAACTTTGAAGTTTGGGATCATATGTTTTTGATACAATGTTGTTTGTAGTTTGTCCTAGTTGATTTGTGGGATTCAAATCTTTTGATATTTTGAAGTTAGCAATTTTGGATGATACTATGTGCTTTATGGGATTAAGGCTTTTGATTGATTGAATATGTGCTATGGTATCTGATTTAAGTTATAGGAACTCTTAGTGGCCTAATTTACATGCACTGCCTGCTTATAGGGTTTATACACTATCTAATTGCTTTTTTTTTGTCAAATTTGAACTATTCATTTGCCACCAAAGAGTGTCCTTTTCCAACTTGTGTCTATGCTTGTGGCATCTGTGATAAATCGTGTCATGTCATTTGTATCTGTTTTTTACTTGAAAGAGTTGCAAGGATTTCAGTTTCAATTAGGAATACCAAGCATTTGTAAGATTCTGATTCTGATTGCTGTTTATAGTTATTTGTATTGCTTAATTGATCATTATCTAGATATTCTGTGAGTCTAAATAGCAGACTATGCACCTTAAGGAATACATTTCATTTGATCCAAGTCATATAACGAATGAGGACGTTAAATGTCCCAAGTCATATAACGAACTATATTTAAGGCCAATATTCATTCTTTTTTTTTTTTCCTTAATATGCCTTTTCTAAAGGCATAATGCTTTTGTAGAGTCATGTATTGACTCCATACTATTTTATGGAACTCTGTTCAATGCAGCTCACATACTTTACCTTTGTGTAGGAACATACATCGACAAGAAATGCCCATTTACAGGCAACGTTTCTATCAGAGGTCGTATCCTTGCTGGTACCTGCCACAGTGCCAAGATGCAGCGAACCATAATTGTTCGTCGCAACTATCTTCATTATATCAAGAAGTACCAAAGGTTGGTCATAGTTAGCTTATCTTTGAATATTCTTTTTCAAATTTTCACTGATTAAGCTTTATGTATCCTTAGATATGAGAAGAGGCACTCCAACATCCCTGCCCATGTTTCACCTTGTTTTCGTGTGAGGGAAGGTGACCATGTGATCATTGGCCAGTGCAGGTCTGTTCATCCTTTTTCTCTGAACGTTGTCAATTTTTGCTGTGTGAATTATAAGATGTGTTGTTCTAATTTGATTACTTGGAATTGTATTGAATGTATCTCTTCTATTGTTGTACCTTGCAGGCCTATCTCAAAGACAGTGAGATTTAATGTCTTGAAGGTCATCCCCGCTGGTGCAGCGACTGGTGGCAAGAAGGCTTTCACTGGACTGTAAACCAAATTTTGATCACATTCTACTCTTTAGAAGTTGAGAAAGCAGTCAGAAGAAACCTTGTTCATGTATTATCTTATGCTCGTAGAAGTGTTTCTATGATTGATTTTAGAGTATGTTTTTATCAACTCAGTTCCTTAAATCTGATTTTGTCGGCTAATTTGTTTTCTCATGGTTTATAAATTATTGGCACCCTTTTTGCTTGAGCTTTCTCATCGTACTTAAATTTCAGTTGATTGGCTAAACTCTGGCCGATAGATCTTTAGCTGGTATAAGGTGTATGAATATTCTACTCGTGTCTGGTAGTTGTTGGTTGACGCAACATTCCCACCTTAAACAATTTGGTTGCAGTTACATTTTGAGACGTTCTGTCGATATATTTTTGGGTTGTATTGTTGTGAGTTTGTGATGCGAATAAGCAGTGGTAAATCCTATGGTTAATATCTTAATTTAATTCATCCTATGGCTCCTATCAAATCAATAATATGTCAAAAACAGGATCTGAAACCACATTTCTGGTTTAATGTAAACTAATTCTATTCAAATACAGAATGCCATTTTTTTTGTTCCCTTAATTTTATATATCAATTTAGATGCAAATGCGGATTGCATATTAGTTGGCGACAAAAACTCTACTAAAATTATTGTCATACGAATGATACAATGACTGAAGAATATAGACCACTCAATAACAAAACGTTTAGTCACAAACTTTGAGTAGCAAATAAATCTAGAACAGCATAAATACATAAGTTCAGCAAAAATAATTTTAGTTCAGTAAAAATAATTTTATTTCAACAAATATAAGGTCAAGTGAGGGCCTAATTCGAAATAAAATTGTCTCAATCATATGTATGACCAGTGTCCTTGAGTGAGCCCAACCATGCAGGTGGAACCATCCCAGTTTGTTCTTGAACTGTCTTAAACAACGGTGGCAAAGTCCGATAGATATTTGCGACCTCTGCCATTGCTGTACCGCCGGCTGTCTTATCATTCGATCCATCACCACCATTTGTCCACACACTAATCTTAGGTTGCAAGCCCTTGATACCCTCAGCATTAATTCTAGCAATGTCTTGAAACATGCCATTGTTAATCATCATATAGTCCCTTAGAGCTGCGTAATTGCCCCCAAGTGCCTCTAATAAGGTACGTAAATAGGTGCCTTGTGCTTGGGCAAGTGCTAGTATACCTTCTGCCTCCTTTTGCTTTGCATAAAGGTCGGCATCAGCTGCTTGTTGACGAGAGTAAAATGCTGCTTGAGCAAGTGCCTTTTGTGCTTCTGCCTCCTTTTCTTTCTTGAATAGATTTGCCTCCGCTGCCTTTTGCTGTTGGTATAACTCCCAATTTGCCTCTTGTACCTTTTTTCACATTTTGACAATAGTTTTAGTTTGTGTTAGTGGACCAAAGTGGTCAATACTGTATCCAACCTCCAGTTTAAGATGCAATTCTAACCACTATTTACTGTATAAATTGTGTCAAAATTTCTTACTAATAAGATAGAGGAAACATTATAAAATTGAAAAGGAGCGGTGTGCAAGTGTAATATTCTGTATATTCGTTACAATGTACTCAAAGGTTAATTGTATTAGATCGCTTTAACAATATGCATTTGTGCTATATGAGTAATAATATGTTCTTTTGCAATGTTAGGCATATACTGAGATTCATATTGATGACATATTGGAGATTACATAGCTACACAAACATCCGGCATATCAATCATCTTTTAATCTTCAATAAGCTAGGTTATTGTCATACTTTAAAAAGTTCATGAATACTCTTTTTATTGTCAAATTATAATCAAGATAAGTTATACTTGTATAATTTAGTTTAGTAATTGTAAAGGTGTGATACTAACCTTAGTTTCATACTCAACGCTAGCTTTACTCAAAAACTCAGCCTTCAATTTTTCAGTTTGAGTCAAAGCATTCATCCTCTCAACTTCTCTTTGCAACTCAGCTTCTCTAAGTTTGACTGCTTTATCAGCTTCCACCTCAGCAACCTGTGCTTCTTTAGTCCAACTAGCCTGCTTTGTTGCCAACTCAGCATTCGCTTCTGCCACCTCAGCCAACCTTTCATTCTCATATATTTGCACCTCTGCCTTCACCTTTATCTCCTCCTTCTGTGCTCCTCCTTTCCTTTGCACTGATATTATCCTCGTTTCTGCATCAATCTTTGACGCATACTGCAACGTTTCTCCATCCCTCAACTTTGACCCTATCTCACCCTTCTTTCTTGCTTCTGCAACATCGATCTTGGCCTAGTGTACATGTTAAAAGATGTATCATAAGTTAGTACTTAATTATGAGAGGTTTAAATTAAACAACATAATACAATGATCGGCTTATAAAAAGAAAAAGAAAAAAAAACATATAGAAACCTGATTGGCAGCCTCCATTTGGGTCTTTTGGCCCAAATAAGAAAAGTACTCATGGCCAGGAATATCCACCAATTGCTTGATATTTGCATTATAAATGAGCAATCCAAACTGATTAAGTTCAAGCTGCACCTTTTCAAAGACTTCCTGCTTAAACTTCTTAGCCCCACTAAAAACCTCCTCCATGGTCATGGAGGCAGCAAGTACTCGTGTCTCACCCTCGATCACACCTTGGACAAGCTCCTCCACATGGCGGGAGTGTTTGTCATGAGGAGCAATGAGTTTGGCATACTTCATGAGGGAATCATCATCATCGGCTCTAGGCCCTATGGTAAACACTGCTGGCAGGATAAATGGCAGCTTCTCTGAGCTCATGGCTTGCACCTCGAAGGTGTAGTTGACCGGTGAAATGTCGAATTTGGTGCATGATTGCCCTGGTAGAACCCATGCCTTCTTGGCTAACTTTATATCCGAAATTCCTGCCCCGGTTACTACTAAATATTCTGATGCACTCGCTATACAGTACAACATTTTGTCTTTCTTTTACACACAAATTAAATACTTGATATATAATGGCAAAAAAATTCAATGCTGATCAAGGTGCAACAATTTGGACTAACCTGAGATTAATTATATGATACACGAATCAAGATCAAACTGTTGTACAATCTTAAGAATGCAGAATGATTTATGATTGGTAAGAATTATTTTTTTGATAAGAGATGTATAAAACAAGGAATTTTTCAAAACTTGTAATTTGCAAGTGGACATATGAAACCATTTTACATCTATTGTAGACTTTTTTTTTTTTTTTGAATCAAAACATCTATTGTAGACTTTGACTGAATAGATGAAATTATTTGATTATTGAATAATAATAATCATAGTTGTCGACTTTGACTGAATAAAATTCAATATAAGTAATCGTCCGGCAATTACATTCTTTGTGCATTTATTTGATCATTTTGTTAATAGACGAAAGTCGAAAGGTAACTTATATGTAAGCAGCTACTTGCCTACTTGTATATAATATACTTAGTCAGCAATATAAAATATAAAATCTTCATTGTAACTCATTTTCTAATTATTGTTGCACGTGAGAGATTGTTTACTGTTAAGCCTATTTAGTGTATAGCTCTTGGGCCGTGTGTTATGAGCCCTAATCTCTTTAGGTTATATATATACTTGTGCATACTCTAATACAAAATACACAACACTATTCTCTCTATTCTTGACATGGTATCGGAGCCACTACAATTCTAAACCCTAAATACTCTATATTTTTTTCAATGGTGGGACGGCAAAATTGATCCTTCTTCCCCTTTCTACCTTGACTCAGGCGATCAACCCGAAAACTTGATTACTCACGTGATCTTGAAGGGTGATAAAGTCTAGGACTAGGACTATTTCTTTGTCCTTGAAATCTAGGCGCAAATTTGGGTTTGTTGATGAAGTAGCTGTTTCAATCCCTTATGCTGACGAAGCCAAGCGTCTATGGGAATATCTTGAGAAACGATACTGTGAAGCTAGCGGACCTCAGTTGCAACAATTAAGGGCTTCAATCACCAATTGCAAAAAATTGAGCAACATGACTGTCGAGGACTATTATAATCAATTGATGGGTTATTTTGACAATCTTGTGCGCCTCAAACCACCACACAGCTGTGAGTGTGGAGCTTGTTCTTGTGATGTCGCTGCGAAATATGAAAAGGACAGGGACGAGGAGATTTTGCATCAATTTCTGGTTGGCATTGATGATGACAAATATGCCATGGTTCGAACTAATCTTCTCTCTCAGCAACTCTTGAGCGCGCATATCAGCAACCCAATAGCCCATTTTCATAAAGTACCTTAGTTATCAAGCAAGGCTAGTGGAGGATTTAGGAGTTAGAGAGGGATGGTTAGTCCCTCCATCTCCCCCCTCCCCCATGATGGAGGTTTGATTTCTCATCTGTTATCAGAGGGGGCTCTCCCCGTATCTTGAGTAGATTCCCACACATCCATGCACGGACAAAGGAACGAATCAAACCTAAAAAAGAATTTCATATATTTTTTTATTGATGGGAAGAACTTCATATTCTTCGTATAACAATAAGCAACAATTTTAAGGTTCCTTCGAGTCAAAAGTAAAAATATTTAATCATCTGCAAATTAACTCTTCTATGACAATAAGCAACAATAAGAATGTTGACAATTTGACATGCAATAAGCAACAATAAGAATTTCATTGATTTAACTCACTCATCTTTGCACGATCGCCCTAATGAGCCTTGACAAGCTAGGGGGTTCAACTCGACAACAAGCAGTAACACTGTGAGCTTTTGGATGTGTGATCAAATTGAAAACTAACAACTTGTACTAGACCAAAAGTGCGTATATGTCAAAACTTGTACTGTTGATGTTCTCAGTAATGGATCCATCATCCATGATTAGGTAGCTCTATATGAGCTAACAGCAGGACTTCCGTAATCTACATCAAGGACTTAAAACTTGTAGGCATCACACATTCATCACTTCACACGTTGTTTTAGCTGTTACAAAATGTAGTTGACCAAGATTTTGTTTAAATACAAAAAGTAAAAAATTATACCTTAAGTGTAAAGTAAAATTAAATAAATGGAAAAAAAATATGGGAATAGAAAGAGCGATGTAGTTATATACTTGTAAATATTATTATGTATAATTGCTTAACTGGTATTTAATCAAGAATATTAGTATTCAAGGAATTAATAACCATTAGTAGGTGACTAATTATTTGACAAATTATTTATGAGAGAATAGCTTGAATTGTATTGATGATCTTGGCTATTATTTATAGCCTACATAAATCTATCTTAAAATATCACTAAGATATATTATTATTCTAAATATAACATCATCATAAGATATATATGGAAAATATATCACAATAATATATTTTCCTATATTCTCAACACCCTCCCGCAATCGTAACGGCAGTAACACGAACGTTATGATTGGAAATTCGCACTTTGTTGAAGTTGATCGAGTTGCACTACTCTATTGATGTCGCCTTCAATTTTTTTTTATTTAAAAAAAAGAACTTTTGCTACCACGGCCCTTTGCTGGTGTCCATGGTCTTCTGTCACGGCCCTTTGCTGGTGTCCGTGGTCTTTTGTCACGGCCCTTTGCTGGTGTCCGTGGTCTTCTTTTCCACGCCCCTTTGCTAGTGTCCGTAATCTTCTTTGCCACGGCCCTTTGCTGGTATCCGTGATCTTCTTTGCCAGGCCCTTTGCTGGTGTCCGTGTTCTTTTGCAATTTTTTTTTTAAATAATAAATAATACGCCAAACGTGGCTTTTCTTCATCTCCTTGGAGATGCAATAATGGAGGAAGCACACTCAAACACTACAACCTAACCAAATCACATATGACCATTCATATTGATCACGTTTCACATGGTTATTCCAAAAAAAAAGATTAAATAAAAAAAAATAGAAATTTCAAAGAGCAATACTATTGCATAGCGGAAGCAAATTTATGAATCCCACCGGTGGGTTTAATATTCTAACCCACCGGCAGGAAGAGAATTTGTGTGAACGGTCCCAAGATTTAACCTGCTCTTGATACCATGACATATTATTTATGAGAGAATAGTTTTAATTGTATTGATGATCTTGGCTATTATTTATAGCCTACATAAGATAACCTACACAATATAAACTCTATCATATATTATTATTATTCTAAATATAATATCATAAGATATATATGGAAAATATATCACAATAATATATTTTCCTATATTCCCAACATTATTTCTTACAAATTAATTATAATTTACTATGCAATCACTTCGAAATTACTATCTAGGAAAAATTAAATGCGAAAGTTACACATATGAAGAGATAAAGAGTGATGACTTGTAAGGGTGACACATAGTAATGATGTGGCACCAAATCATATTGAGGGATCGGTTACACATGACATGCATTAACATGTTGTCCCTTTGTGTTTTAATAATATTATAGATTACGTGACTAGTCTCTCTTTTCTCATTAAATTAAATTTGGCCTCTATCATATATATGCGATGATCAATCTAACATAATTATTATATAATACGAGTATGTACTATCTATTTGTCAAAGTATATGTTTCGATTAATATTCCAAGTTCTTGCGCATAATGTCAACTGATCTTATTGAAGACTTCTTACTTCTCATAGGAGATCATTTTAAAAAACTACCCCATTTGCATATAGATTATTTCAAATTGTATGTATATGGAACAAATAACTACAATGGAATTCATACAATCGCCCACGTTCAACGTTTGAAAATGAGCTACAACGAAGATTAGTATCCTTATATGTATATATAATTGCTAACAAAGATATGAATATCATTTACTAACGAATGAAATAGTCAAACAAATGCACAACCAAAGTATGGTGCCATGGTGGTTGCTTGAATAATTTAGCTTAGTCAAAGTCTACCATAAATGAATTTAATTCGACACTCCAAAGTAAATTGTTATGTGATTTCTACTTGCAAATTAATATTGAAAAAGTATGAAATTTCACAAGCATATTCCTTAATATAAATCGCCCACCTAGAGCTTCTAAGGATGTACAATAGGTGGGTCCTCATTCGACTTTTGTACATCAGATCAAATTAGTTCGAATTAGTCCAACTTGTTGCACCTTATTGCTGTTCTTCAAAAATTCTTCTACCATATTTTTCTACCTTATTGAAGAGACCTCTTATATTATAGTAGTATATCAAGTATCTTTGAGTTAGAATAAGATGAGGTTCGAGATAGCGAGTGCATCAGAATACTTAGTAGTAACCGGGGTTGGAATCACGGATATAAAGCTAGCGAAGAAGGCTTGGATTTTACCAGGGCAGTCATGCACCAAATTCGACATCTCACCGGTCAACTACACCTTCGAGGTACAAGCCATGAGTTCGGAAAAGCTGCCTTTTATCCTTCCTGCAGTGTTTACCATTGGGCCTAGGGTCGACGATGATGATAGCCTTATCAAGTATGCCAAGCTTATTGCTCCTCATGACAAGCGCTCCCACCATGTGGAGGAGCTTGTCCAAGGTGTGATCGAGGGTGAAACACGAGTACTTGTTGCCTCCATGACCATGGAGGAGGTTTTTAGTGGTGCGAAGAAGTTTAAGGAGGAAGTCTTTGAAAAGGTGCAGCTTGAGCTTAATCAATTTGGACTGCTAATTTATAATGCAAATATCAAACAATTGGTAGATATTCCTGGCCATGAATACTTTTCTTATTTGGGGCAAAAGACCCAAATGGAGGCTGCCAATCAGGTTTGGAGATTTTTTTTTTTATATTTATTATAAGCTCGACTGTGTCACTAGTACATGTCTATAAGCTGGTCGTCATGTTATTATGTTGTTCAAACCTTTCCTAATCATATTAAGATGTAACATGATTTAATAGACGCGTTAATATTTGTGCTAAATCTATTCTTGGAACTTTCCCTTAAAAAAAAAAAAAAAAAAAAAAACTCATGTATCTCTACTAGGCAACATTTGTAACATATTTAAGTACTAACAATTTATTCGTAACATATTTTAACACTAGGCCAAGATCGATGTTGCAGAAGCTAGGAAGAAGGGGGAGATAGGATCAAAGCTGAGAGACGGAGAAACGCTGCAAAATGCGTCGAAAATTGATGCAGAAACGAAGATAATATCAGTGCAAAGAAGTGGAGGAGCAAAGAAAGAGGAGATAAAAGTGAAGGCAGAGGTGCAAATATATGAATTTGAAAGATTGGCTGAGGTGGCAGAAGCAAATGCTGAGTTGGCAACAAAAAAGGCTAGTTGGACTAAAGAAACACAGGTTGCTGAGGTGGAAGCTGAGAAAGCAGTCAAACTTAGAGAAGCAGAGTTGCAAACAGAGGTTGAGAGGATGAATGCTTTGACTCAAACTGAAAAATTGAAGGCTGAATTTTTGAGTAAAGCTAGTGTTGAGTATGAAACTAAGGTTAGTACTACTTCATACAATTTTTCTTAAGTATAACTCGCAAATATAGTCATAATTGGTCATATAATTTTGACATTTATGAACTTTTAAAGTTAGACAGTACCCTATTTTAACAAAAATTACATATTGATATCCAATATACTCATGTAATCTCAATATATAATTATTTCACAAATGCATACTAGTATACGAAATACTACAAATATATTGTTATAGCAATCCAATATAATACTTTTAATTCATAAACTTTGAATACCTTATAAATTTGACGTTACTTAGTATAGAAATACTTGTAAGTTATTGTATTTTGTTAGAAAGCAATAAACATGCTTTCAGTCATATATAATTGCTTTGAAAGAAAAATAAATGGAGAGAAATAAAAAAGAAAAAAAAGTACCAAACTGAAACAATAATGATAAATGTGAAAATAAAAAAGGCACAAGAAGCAAACTGGGAGTTATACCAACAACAAAAAGGAGCAGAAGCAACTCTATTCAAGAAAGAAAAGGAGGCTGAAGCCCAAAAAAAACTTGCCGAAGCAGCATTTTACTCCCGTCAACAAGCAGCTGATGCCGAACTTTATGCAAAGCAAAAAGAGGCAGAAGGTATACTAGCACTTGCACAAGCACAAGGCACATATGTACGTACCTTACTAGAGGCACTTGGGGGCAACTACGTCGCACTAAGGGACTATATGATGATTAACAACGGCATGTTTCAAGACATTGCTAAAATTAATGCCGAAGGTATTAAGGGCTTGCAGCCTACGATTAGTGTATGGACAAATGGAGGTAATGTTGGCGAGGGTTCGGCTGGTGGCACCGCAATGGCTGAGGTCGCAAATATTTATCGGACTTTGCCACCTTTATTCAAGACAGTTCAAGAACAAACTGGGATGCTTCCGCCTGCATGGTTGGCCTCACTTAAGGACAATAATTGAGGTTTTACCTCAATTTTCCATGTATGAATGCAAGCTATTGTAAATTCAATTTGTTTGATGATTTTTATTGTTATTTGCACCCAAAAAATAAAAATAAAAAAAAAAATGATTTTGATTGTTATGACAAAGATGGGCTGGACTTGCACTTTTGGATAAGGCCCATAAAGGTGGGGTTGGGCTGTTTAATTGTGTAGGGGTTTGCAGTTATCCTATTTCTAGGCGGTATAAAAGTCCTTGTCCCCTAAGTTTTGTCTCCTAAATTTTTTTGAGGAGAGTTTTGTCTCCTATATAAACGTGTGATGATGTCAAACACGGTTATAAAAAATCACAAATTACAAATCACAATAAGCGGCGAACTACTCTTAATTCAATAAACTCAAGAAACTCTAATAGGTACGGCATTGGTTTCTTTTCGTTGTTGGTTTGGTGTGGTTGCTAGATCTCTTTCCATGAATTGTTTTTGTTGTTCATATTCTTAATTTCTGTTTCGTAATTCAATTATACTTGTCTTAGGTTTTTTTTTCTCGAATTTTTATTGTTAATATTATCAATTAGTTAAAAGTTGTGTTGATATATTTCATAAAAAAATTTAAAATATTACGGATCAATAAGTTGTGTTAGAGAATTAGAAGCAATTAAATCCATGAGAAATTGTAGACTTTAAAGAGTTTATTGAATTGCTGTTAATGGTGAGTTTTTTTTTTAATCGATTTTTTTAAAAAAATATTATCAATTAATTTTGATAGAATATACGGTAGATAAACTAGTAATTCTGTTATAGTAGGAGATATATTTTGGGAATATTTATAAAATATTTTGAGATTTTCTAACGTGATTTGCTTCTTGTCTTGCGCTATATGAAGAGTTGTCTAAAATATGATGACCGGCGTCTCCGTACTAGGATTGCTAAGCGTTGGTCCAACGGAGATTGCTATCGTACTATTAGTTTCGTAGTTTATAAATATGTTGGTAACACAACTAAGTCATGCGAGAAGGTATGCACCATAAAAAATAAAGAGTCATGGAAGCAGGTTGAGGATCTGGGTGAACATTTGTTATTTCTTGGTGATAATATTGCCATTGCTCTTCATATATCAAAGGCTCCTAATTGCCACCAAAATACTATCTACTTCATTGATGATGAAACTAATCATTGGAAATATCGTATCGAAACAAAAGTCCGTGGCCGCGATATGGGTATGTTTGACATGGCGACGGAAAAAAATTCAACCATTTTATCATAGAGGCACTGGTATAATAACAACTGATATAATTTTTCAGTATTCTTCTCCTATATGGTTTATGCCCAAGTTTTAGATTTAACATGTTTTCTTAGTTTATGCCCAAATATAAAGATCCTTCAATTCAAGGCTTCAACGATTTCCCATGTTAGACTTACTTTAGTATAAATATGAATGTCGTCTTCCAATGTAAATCATCAAACATTCAATGATAATATCGTTTAAAAGTTTTGTGTTTATTAGTGATTATATTTCTCCGGTTGTAATTATATTATGTTGATTAATCCTTACCAGAGGAACAAATGTATGGTTTTATCTAGTTAAAGCATGTATCCTTTCCTGCTACTACTTCTTCGAGGACAGCATAAGAAAGCTAAGTAGAGCAAGGGTGCGTTTAATGAGATTCTTGACGTTAGTTTCATCATTACTTGTGAATGTTATAATGTATGGTACCTCGCTTGTTGTATACGATGACTATGTATAATTTATATGACTATGGATTCTTATTTATCTCTTTCATTTTATATGTCCTTTAATTAGGGAGTGAGCAAATGTAAATTAAGATATGTGCTTAAGGCTTTGTAAATTAACAAAATATCTTGAAATGCTTAAAAACAAAGTATCACTTACTATTGAAACTAGGCAACAAAGCATTGCACCCACAACCCCCACCCAACTCGAACCACCCAATCCAGATCTACCACGCATCCTAATAAGCACCCACAACCCCCACCCAACCCGAACCACCCATCCTAAGCAAACCACCCCACCACCCACCTAAAATCACCACCGTCGCCGTCGAAACAAAACATCGTAGCCCCAAAATAAAAAAATAAAAAAATAAGAAAAAAAAAAATTAAAATCCCAACCCAACCCCAAACACCGAACTCCAGCAGCCACCACCCACCACAACTATATATGTTAAAAAAAAATCCGATTAAACAACAAAATTAAAAAATAAAATATTGAAAACCTTTGTTTTTAGCAAGAGAACATAGCGAAAGGGCGAAAATTGTTGTTGATGATGTCGGTACGACGATGGTAGTGGTGGTACGGTGTTGTTGTTTAAAAAGATCTACATATGTGGAAGTTTCCACATAAATCTTTCAAGCTCTATCTACAACTATTCATTCAATCAAAAACATTAACACAACACAAAATCACAACACAAGAAGTCATATCAAACACAAGCCTTTCTACAAAATATCCTCCCTTTACCCTTTTGATTCTTCACCATCATAACTTCCTTTTATCGCCATTTTCATGTCGTTTCTGATTGCTATGAGCTCCACTTCGGCAGGAATCCTAGCTTTAATTCTCCACGCCTTGCCAGTAAGCCAACGAACCATCAGTATTAATCTTGAAAGATTCAGTTATTGGGTTCTTCCATCTGAGATTAGCTTGCCTATTCACCACCGTACCCTTTACCTGAAAAGTATTAATAATAGCCATCAAGTCCACTATATAGCCATTAAACAAAAAAATTGAATGAGACATAGCCAATTGGAAAACAGTATGCTTTCTACCCTTCCAAATATAGCCATTAAACCGAGAGAGAAAGATTATATGAATCCACCCTTCCCTATTTGTATTGAAAAAAGGTACAATTAAACTCTAAATTAAATAAATAGATACACCACAAAAGGAGAAAATTTTGAAGAATTGACAATCGAATTATGAACCCATCTTAACAAAATGCCTTCAGAACAAGTATTTTTAGAGAAAGTTTGATTATTATAGACTTTTGAACTACGGTACAAATGGAACCAAGTTTTGCATGAAAATCAGAAATTAAGTATAGTAAGGCGGACAGCCCAACAACCCTTCAAAGCAACTAAAATGCAGAGCCGTTTTTGACATTTTGGAGGCCCAGGGCAAAATGATAATTAAAAAAATCATTTATTTATATAATTGTTAAATAGTTATGTAATTTGTTAATTCGTAAATAATTTTATATAATTTGTTAAATACTTTCTCCCTTTCTTTAATTGCACTATTTGGAATTTTCATTCACACTTCTATTTTGATCTTCTTTTCTGATTTATCCGTTAGAAAAAAATATAATAAAATATCATATTTTTATGGGGATCAACAACCATTGCAGTGACATTCACCGTCTGTACCAAACTTTAAGGTACTTATAGTACCTAGTTTGGTCACAAGTATGTGTTTTGTCATCCTTGTTTATCACCGTGGCACTTTTCGGAGAGGGGCACGGGTAATATTTCTTATGAATGTCACGAACGTGGCACTGGAGGGCATTAAGGGTTGGTTAGAGTTTGAAACAAAGTGTGCAATCACATGTAATGCCAGAATTATTAATTATGGCTCCCTTTAATCTCCGGACTACTAAGGGATCCTGCAAATGGCGTCTAGAGCATTTCTTCTTGTTGTTGAAAGGTTCTTCATCGTCGGTATTGGAAGACGAACCCCTAACAACTAGAAGCATGATTATGATAGAGAAAGAAAACTCAAATCTCATTGTTAATGTTAACAACTGTGCATAGAAAAAAAACTCTATCAGAAAACTTTTTGGTCAATCACTATGGATAGAAAACTCAAATCTTAATAAACTCGATTATGATAGAAAAAGAAAACTCAATATATGTTCAAAAAGTAGCAGATAGTATATATTATTATATTATGATGAGTAGTGGAAAGAAAGAAAACTCAATTATAAGCCTTTAACAGCAGTAGCTCATCACTTTCAATCTTGACAAAGGTTTGAGATGGTTCAATGCAATTATGGGTATCAGTAAATACTATTAGGGGACGTTTGGTAGCAAATTAGTAAATGTAAGGGAATGAAAACAAATTAGGAGGGGAAAGGGTAATATATAGTGTTACCCTTACTACTTGTTTGGTATTACCCTTACAGCATTCTACTTTGGGATAGATAAGAAAGTTTTCGAAAAATCAGCTTGTAATTTCAAGGAGTAAATAATAGCAACGCAAGCAGATAAGTCAGATCAAATAGTATGCGAGTAACAAGCAAATTAACTAGCAAAACCATCCCAAATCAAAATTCTAATTAAAATTAGAAATTTCTTGATAATTGGGGAAAATTTAGGGGGGAAACACAAAATAACCCGTAATTACAACAATAATACGAATATATATCATCAAATTCAGTAGAAAATCAATAAAATAGAAGAAAATTTTAATCAAACAAGCAAGTGTAGAATTCAAACCAGGAACAACAATATTAATTTCGCATAAATCCTAGAAATTGAACGAGAGAAATTAAGATAGCAAACCTGTGATGATTTTTGAAGATTTGAAGTAGACAATTGAAAATTTTGTAGCAAAATCTGAAGAATCGCAACTTTCTTTGTAGAATTGTCGAACAAGTTTAGGAATTTCTTTGAAAATTTTCGAACGAAAGAAGAGAAGAAAGAAGTGTTTTCTTTATTTTTTGTGTTAGAGGAAGGAAACAAAATCTGTTTCCTCACTTATTACATCGTAAACAATTTGGTGGAATGGGTTACCAACTACTAACGATTTGTGTTACTTTAGTCATTAATCAAATACATTGTAACGGAAATACTAACATGATTTCGTTTCCACTACTCTAAAAAACTTATACCAAACATCCTCTTAGAAGTAAATTATATTATGTATGTTTTCATAAGTAGAGGTAATTAAAATAGTAGCTAATTCTATGCAGAAAGTCCAATGTTCAATTCAGACCAATACCATTGCAACAATGCAACCTAATAAGTCAGTCCATTGTTGTGAGATGGTTAGTAAGAACAGTAGGAGAGAGAATCTGAGAGGGAAAAACGCCATTGTTGTGAGCTTGAGCAGAGAATTTTGCAGCATTGTAAAAATGGGTTTCAGAGAGAGAGAATGTTCTGGAAAAATGACAAAAAAGGGTGTTCCTGGGTTTATATAACGATGAAGTGAGTTCCTGGGTTTTCTTAGTTTATGCCCAAGTATAAAGATCCTTCAATTCAAGGCTTCAACGATTTCCCATGTTAGACTTACTTTAGTATAAATATGAATGCCGTCTTCCAATGTAAATCATCAAACATTCAATGATAATATCGTTTTAAAGTTTTGTGTTTATTAGTTCTTAGCATTTCTAATACTAAACTCCTCAATTATAAAAGTAAATCCGAGAAATCCTTTCATAAATTTGCCCAAAAAACTACTTCGTATTATATAGATCAAAATCATATCATATGGGATGTTATTAAATTTGTCAACATTTCAAATTTTATAATTGTATTATATTAAATATATACATAGTCAAGGATTTGTATAAGCGATCGTGAAAGTCAAAAGTATAACTATAGAAAAGAGTGAGGGGGATTGCGGAAGGGGATGGTGATTCGGGGGAAAGCGGGAGGGTGATGGACAAGGGTGGTGGGAGGGTCGACAAAAGGGGCTGAACCTAGGCGCGACGGCAGGGGCGGGGTGGTGGGGGAAGGGGTAATTTTTTTTAATGCATAACTAAAAAGCACATGGTATGACTAATGCATTATGTAGTACTTCCTCTATTCTGTTATTATTACAACAAGGGGTTTGAGCATAGATTTTAATTAGAAAGAAGTAAAGTGAAGAGAGAGAAAAAAAGCTATGTAAGTTGCACATGTGATTAACAAATACTTCGTATTATGTAATTCATATGATCGAATTTTATACCTGAGAACATGACGTGGAAATCAGATCACCTTAGCAGAAGAATAATTGAACAAAAACTCTAAAAATCCTATGTACATAATCTACTGTGTATGGGTTTGAACTTTTGATATCTCTGGTCATTACATCTATAGCAGTAAATATCATTTACCACAAAGAATGACCTGAATCATGCAGAAGTCTTTAATCACTTCAGCCTTTCACTTGGTCTGACCATAACATATATTCCATGGAAGTTAAACTGAGCTTGCACTTTTTGTTAGATTCATATGCTCAAACGAGGGATAAAAGTCGAGGAAACGTTTTGACATTCGTGTAACTTTCGAGCACTCCTTTCACAACATCGTGCTTTTCCTACTTAAACATTCCTCATTATTGGCTGAGTAATCCAGTCCAGTGCCACGTTCATGACTCTCATAGAGGATTTCACCTGTGCCCTTCTCCCAAGTGTGCCACGGTAATAAAAAAGGAAGACGAAACCCATATTTGTGACGAAACTATGTACTATAAGTAACTTAAAGTTTGATCAACAACCATCACAACGACGTTCTTCATCACCGCCTGTACCAAACTTTAAGGTATTTATAGTACTTATCAAAGTTAGATTTGTTGAAATTACATGAAATTATTTTCAAATTAAAATTTTACCTGAAACAAATTAAGATTTCAACATTAATCACCTCAAAGTCCCCATTAATAATCTCAAATCCTATCAAAGTTAGATTTGTTGAAATTACATTATTTACAAATTAAAATTTTACATGAAACAAATTAAGAAACAATAAGTTATGAAATTAAAGCTATTTACAAAAGAATAATTAACTCAAATGATATCTTTGATAAAAAAAAAAAAATCGCACCGACTTTTGTACCACACTTACCACTGAAGTTCTCATTAAATATTCTAATAACATTCTTCATTAGCCCTTGTGCGACACTTAAAGGTATTTATCAAAGTTACGTTTGTTAAATTACATTAAATTATTTACAAATTAAAAATATTACATGAAATAAATTAAGATTTCAACCTAAATCACCTCAAAGTCCCCATTAATAATCTCAAATCTTATCAAAGTTAGATTTGTTAAAATTACATGAAATTATTTACAAATTAAAATTTTACATGAAACAAATTAAGATTTCAACCTTAATCATCTCAAAGTCACCATTAATAATCTCAAATCTTATCAAAGTTAGATTTGTTGAAATTACATGAAATTATTTACAAATTAAAATTTTACCTGAAACAATAAGTTATAAAATTAAGGGAAATTCTAAACACATGAACAATATTACAAAATATTAAACATGAAAAGCTCATTTAAATTCCAAACAAAAAATAAAATTACAGTAAATTAGGGTAGAAATTGAAATTTGCTTACAGTGCAGAAAGAACCGTGAAGGATAGTGCAAGGACCGTGATGAAGCCAAATATGCCTACAGTAGTTCTGTAAGTCTAAGATCCACTATGCTGAAGGTTGTACTGGTTGATATATGATATATGTAAGCCAAATTTTCAAACTTTTTTTTAAAGAAAGTTTTATTTTTAAAATTATATGATATATTTATTAAAAAAAATACCAACAAGAATTACATAGTATAAAAAATTAGTCAAATTTATTAAAATCATCGTAATGTTAAAAATTGACAATAAAAAATCATACCACTTTTAGAGATTTCTTGATTTTAGTAACTTTGTTTGAAACAATAACTACCATTATTTTCAATAACAATTTAGAATAAGTTAAGTTCAGGAAATAAAATTTAGCAAAAATAAAACTTACTAAAAAAAAAGTTTTAACTCGTAAAAATCTATAATTAAAGGAACAATTTTAAGTTTTAACAGTGAAGATAAATTAGATTTATGGTGTGTTCATATATTCACCTGATTTTCACTTATATTATATTAGACTTAAATGAAGTAAAAATAAGGTAAATAAAACAAATCCTTAGTTGATTAGTATTTTAGCAATATAATAAGCTAGTATTGAATGTGTGTGGTTAAGGTCAGTAATTCAGCATACGAGTATAAAAGAAGATTATGACTTACCATCTGAGAAAGAAGCACCACAAGGTTGTCTAATAGCCCGTGCAAAGAGACCTACGACATAGGGCCCAAAAATCTAAGAGGCCCAAATAATGAAAGTCCCAACTTGCATATTTAATTTGATATTTGTGAGCAATATGTATTATGGTCATAGTGGCTAATAACTCCCTCCATGTTTGTATATTTGCTCTACTTTCATTTTCACCTGTTTTTAAGTACTTGCTCCATTTCCTTATTTAAAAAGGTTTATAATATTTAATTAATTTTTCTTAACTATTGGACCCAACATAAATCAAATTTTATTATTTTCAAATTCTCTCCAATTCTCTCAACTACTTTTGCTTTTTATAATTTTTTATTCATCCACCTACCCCACTATCTCCATATTTTATCACTCCGTACTTTTTCCAATTTCTCTTAAACTCCACGCATAAAAAAATTGAGCAAGTATTTAAAAATGAAGGGAGTACTTTGTTACATGTTTCCAACACCACATTACGTTAACCATTTAAAACATAATGAATGCAATAACATTTACTCATGTTAATATTATTGTCAAAAACTCGGTTCTCCCGTATAGCACGCGTAAAGAACCATTAAAACTTATTGTATAGAAAATTTGCTTATAAGTTGAACACAAAAAAAAAAGAGCATGTTACAATGAGGAGGAAATTAGTAAGCAAAAATTTTAGTGAACATCCTAATTATTAGGGTCTTGGAAAACCATGTGTGAGAGAGAAATAATTAAAGGTGAGACAACAAAGAATGCAATGAACATGTGAGGGGATTATAATGATGGTAATATAACAAGCTAATCTAAATTTGTTTAGAAGTTGAATACCATGGAGTAAAAAATCACTAACTTAATGCTAAAATAGATATCGGGAGTGACACATGTCACATCCTGGTGCTACTTTCTCCCTCTAAAATTTCCCTTTCCTTTTTAACCTTTTTTTTCTGTGAATATTTGATACAATTATAATAATATCATTTCAAATCTTTTATATTATTTTTATGACAAAAATAATCTTTTTTATTTGGTGCTTATAATCTATTAACTATTACTTTAACAGAAAACTGCTGACATTATCCTCTCTCCCAAACTGTATATGTGTCGCTTTCTCATAAAAAAATTCCCCGCCAAATGCACTTATGATGTTATATATATAGGAATTGGTTATTTTTTTTTTAATCATTTTTTTTCAATCTTTTGATTGTGTCAATAAATAAATACATTTTTTTTTGTTGGAATAAATAAATTGATATCGAGCTGAAACTTTTTAGGTAACTACGAAGTTTTTTTTCAAGAGTGTTATTATTAATTTTTTATAAGGATGCTAAGAAGTAAATGTTAGCATTGTTTTATATTTTTAAGGTGCTTCTATTTATTTAAATTAAGATCTTTAACTTACAAGTATTTTTACTTTGTATTTTGAACTCTTAGATATGGAGTATATAAATTGGTATGTATTTTGAACTCTTAGATATAGTTTGATTAGATCATATTGACTTTCATTTTTATATTTTGTTACTCATGTAATTTATGATGATAGCTGGATATCTTTTATGATCTAATTTATAAGTATATACGGATAAATAAATAATATATAGAAATAAGCTATTTCATTTCAGTAATTTTTGTAATCCGTGCGTCGCACGGGTCTAATCTAGTAAAATAAAAATCTAGTTACAATGGGGAGGAAATTAGTAAGCAAAAATTATTGTGAAAATTGTAATTATTAGGGTCTTGGAACCATGAGTATGAGAGAATAATTAAAGTTTAAGCCTATAAGAACCTAACAGACACGTGAATCTTATCAAAAAAAAAAAAAAAAAACTGGACATGTGAGAAGATTATAATAATGCTAGTATAACAAACTAATCCAAATTTGTTTATAAGTGTAGGATGCGGAGGAAATTAGTAAGCAAAAAATATTGTGAATATTGTAAGTACTCAGGTCTAACCCTTTTTTTATTTTTTTTATTTTATTAAGAACTCAGGTTTAGGGGTGCTTATGAGACGAGACAATTTACGGGCTACTCGAGCTCAACTCGGTCAAAACTCAACTCGATTGAGCTCGAGGTTGACTCGAAATGTTAATGAGTCGAGTAGCTCAATACTCGACTTGAAAACTCGTGGGAAACTTGAATTCCTTTATATATTACTATGTTTAATATAAAATAAAAATATTTTGATTCAAAAACTTTATATTACAATAATAATTCATAAATATATAACATTTATGTACTCATATCATCACATGTATATTTTTTATAATACAAAAATAATGAAAAGGAACAAGTGTTACACTAACTAGGGATTCTACTGAGACCAAATCAATTATCAAGCTTCTCAAGACCAACTCAGTCAAAAGTCGACTCGATCAAAGCTCGACTTGATTTGACTCGATATGTTAACGAGTCGAGTTGAGATACCCCAAACTCAAACTCGACTTGCATTATAAGCACCCCTACTTAGGTCTAACCTAACATAGCATAACCACCATACAAACATAATAATCTCAAATTTTGTAAGGTCAGGCTTTGATGGATAATTTAGACCCTGAAGTTCTAGCATCCTTCTAGATCTTCATCTGCATATGCGGGGATAAGCCAATACTTCTTGTCCATTCTAAACACCTGGTGAGCATCAGACATTAGCTCAAATTTTGCAAAAGCTTAGAATTCCTTATATAGTAGCAGAAAGATTCATTATGTTTAACAATATCCCTAATATAATAGCAGAAGGTATCATTCTGTTTAACAATATTCTAATATAGTAGCAGTAGGTATCATTCTGTATAATATGAAGCATTAACTGACATGAAACCTATATTGAACCCATTCTTTTATATTAATATAGATTTTACACATATATTTATTAATTATAATTAATTATTATATTCATATTAATTATAAATTCATATTTTGATAAATAATCTAGTCCAAAAAAAGTCTTTTTAGCTCAAGACTTTTGACTTCAATCCAAAAGAACGAGCCTAACAATTGCAATGCAATTGTATCTATTTTACCGATGACGTGGGGCTATATTTTTGGCTCAACTCATATAATGGGGGGCACGATATGAGGAATTTTAGTATGAAAGACATGGAGTTTGAGATATTTGATGATGAAGATGATGTCCATTCTAATATATTGCACACTCATATGTTTTATACCAATGCTAGCTACGTACAAGGATGGATCACTTAAAAAACATCAACCATTTTGACATACACTTGCTGTCTAATAAAAGTTGACCATAGCTAAAAATTCACTAGTTACATTTTTTTTTTGGTTCATATAAGCCACTTAGGGCAGAGATGAGAATCGATCCCAGGATCACCTGAAACCGGGAGGAAAGCTCTTACCAACTGAGTTATCCCTCATTCACTAGTTACATTATGCTTGTGTGGTTGTGCGGCTTGTGCCCATGAGTTTTATTTTACTTAGTTAAATTTCCAAAAACAAAATGGATAAATAAAAAAAATAAGTTACATTTAGTAACACATAATAGTACCCTACAACAAGATAGAGATGTTGACCTATCAAATGAGTCAAAGGGCCCTATTTAATTTAGCAACAATAATAAAAAATGAGTAAATACGTAGTAATAATGTTTCAAAAAAACAAAAAATGAGTAAATAATAATAGTGCGTTGGAATAATAGGAGTAGAAAAAGAAGGAAAAAAAAAAAAAAAAAAACACCTCGAATTCCTCTTTCTTCTGTTCACTCCCATGTTCCTTTTTTCTCTGTCCTCTGTCTTTCCTCACTCTCACTCTTGCTGAGAAGCATAGTTGATGACAAGAACAATTGCAATATCCAGAAAAAAAAAGGTATTGTTCTTCTTTTTTATTCTTTTTCTCCTGCTTTTGTTTATTATTCAGTAAGCTTTAATTTATACTCAGCTTTTTAATTTGTTTATTGGAATAATTAGTTTTGAGAGTTATAAAATGCCAGAAAGTTCAATTTATTAGTTTAATTTTATAACCTATAGTCTGTTAATGTTTGTTTTGATTGTAAATGTTCTAATTTTTATGTGCTTCTCTGCATTTTCAGGATGTTCTATGTCAGTTTAATTTGTATTCTGATGATTTTTGATGGTGGAAATTGAATAATTGATCAGTAATTTTGGGTAGTGTTTTTTTTTTTTTTTTTTGGTTGGGGGGGGGGGGGGAGGGAAGGGGGGAAGTTGGTGGCGGTGACGGCGGCGAAGGCGGTGGTGGTTTGAGTTATGGAAAATGGTTGGCAGATGAAATGTGGTATGCAATCACCAAGTCCGGGTTTGGGTTCGAGTTTGAGGGTTGCTTCTTCTTCTGAGCAAATTCAGCTCCAGCAGGAAGCTAGGAATCAGGTAACTGTAAATTTTAATTAAGATTTGTGGTTTGCAATTTGTGAAGTTTTTGGTCTTGCATGTTCTATATAAGTTGGAAGTGTATCATGAATGACATTGAGCTGATAATTGGCAAGAACTTTTTTGTGTTTTTGTATTGATTCATTAATATATTTTATGTACAATATAATGTGTTTTATTACGCGTACATTATCGATGTTGGTTGGCTGATTTCTCAGTCATTAAATGTATATTTGATATACAGTGAGCTTATGAACATGTATAAATGCATCGATATGTATGAGACATGGCATGTGTAGAGGAAGTGCTGTTGTATTGAGTTGTGCTTTAGCCATGACACGGTTGACATTCTTGTCTTTGTGGACCCTTTTTGAGATCCAGTCATTCCGAAATCTAGAACACCTATAGAAGAGCATAACATATAATGGATTGATCATAATGTATAGTGTATGGATTGTTTAAGGTTGAAGGGGAAATAACTCTATTCAAAATCCACATGTAGCTAAAATTTGTTGATATGATTGAGCATAGAAACCAATCCGGGAAGAAGAAGACTTAAAAGGTAACAATTTTTGGTAGACAAGATAGGAACTCATCTAGTTTGAGAAATTCTACTTCCTTCGGTTGATAATTTGAGAAACTTTTCTTTACGAGACTTGCAATAAACAATGGCCACTAATTTATTCTTGTAGGACTAAGTATGTCAAATAAGTAATGCTACTCAAATCAAACCTTTTGTCATCCTCAATGTAGTGTGGCATGACTGGCATCATGGTTACATTTATGTTCCTTTCATTTGATTAAAGCAAGGCACATGGTAAATGTTGGGGTTCAAAGCTTCAAATGTTTTGTCCATCTTATGTTGGAGCATAGGATCTGACATGTAAATCTTATGTGAATCTTATCTAGAAACATGGTGCTTACTTATGTTGTCTTTCCATTTTTCTACTGGTTCATGTTGCATGCAATCTTTGCATGTTTAACACAACTGTAGCTGCTGAAATCCAACAACTATGATGATTTGAATTACCTGGTCTGCAGTTGAATACAAACATGAGCCACTGTATTCTTCCCCGTGATATGCGAGAACAAGGACCACTGTCTTCTCAAATGAAACAGGCACCCACATCCAATATATTGAATTTTGGTTCATGCAAGCCAACCCAACTTGAAACCGGAAGTTCATTTTGCTCTCTGTTATCACCCCCACCTTCTCTCTTGCAATATGATTTACAGCGACAGTCAAATGTGCATTCTTCCAGTGGAGGCTGTATTCTAGATACTCCCGCTCAGGGAAATATTGGTACAATGAAAAATTGGCAATTGTTGCAGAATAGCGCAAACTATAATGCAAGAGCTGTAGTAGATATACACCCTATTTTTCCCTCGAGGTCTATTATGAATGCAAATAATGGTAGTAGTCATGGCCTAAGTGAAGACCTTAGTGCCCTGAGGGCATCCATCACTCATCCTGGCTCTCAGACTGAAAATGGGAGTAATATTTTGCAAAAAGGGGTAACTTGTGCTCCTTTAAGCAGCAATAATTTTCCAGATGCATCTTTGCAAGCTTCAACTTCTGTCCATAAGAAACAAAATTCAGTTGTGAGTGGGTATCCTCGTGTCTTCTGCATGGGTGCATGTGAGTTAATTTCTCCCTTTCTCAATCCTCATATTAACCAGTGTTTTGGTTGAAAATCTGATTTGCCTGCATGATTGGTTGAAAAGGTGGAGATCTACTTCTCAGCAACACAGGTCTTTTTGGAGTTCTATGCTCATGCCATGGTATGCGAATGTCAGTGTCTAAATTTTGCGAGGTAATTGTAATAGTCAAAAGCTGATATCTGTGTAGCTTCCATGTGGCTTTCTGCTGTGTTGTCTACGTTATATCTATTTGCAGACTTCTGAAAGCACATTCTGCTTTGTTCTAATGCAGCATTCAGGTTTATCTGATGTTAATCCTGGGTATGCTGTTCGCATGGATAGCGGTGATAGCATTGCTCAATGGCGTAAAATGTACCTCCAGAAGTTCGGGGTATGATATAAATTAAATTCATTTGGAATGTATTCTTGTAGCTGACTTCTATAATCTGTAGAATATTTGTTTAGGAGTTTCTATGCATGCATTATTTTTTTGCCACTTATCATCGACATAATTATGCCCCATATGCCTTCTTTTCTTTGCACCCAGTTATGGAATGAGTCTGTGCCAATGTGCCGTTCATGCTTTTCTGTATAGCAAATTACTGTCACTAGAAAATTCAGCATTTTATGATTATTCTAATTAGACGCAATTCTGTCACCCTTCTGGCATTGTCCATTTTCCATCTGTTATTTTGGTTTAGTGGTAATAGGAATACTTACTCTCGTGATGCCCCATGGCTAAACTCATTATGAACTCTAAGGGGTTTGTTTACTGTTCTCTTGGCCCCATCATTCTTACTTTTCCTGCAGTAAATTGATGTCTACCTTCTAACTTGTATCCAATCAATCTAACATAATAATATCTGCTACCTATGACTATATACCTGTCTGCCCACTTGAGTTCTTGCAGGTCATTGGATTTGGCTGTTTATATATTTCATTTCAAATAAATTCCTGGAAGTAATGAAATTAATCTGAATTTAGACTTGAAAACATTAAATAGAACCTTGGTATTCTAATGCTTTGCTAGGAGTTGGATGTGACCTGACTTCTACAGCATTATTTACTGTAGTATAGTATTAAGTATGTTGGCTTTGCTATCAAATAGGGTGTAGCGCATTTTTGCTTGCTTGTTTTGCATTAACTCTTTAATTCTTATTGGCATGTATTTTAATTATGGAGATGAGGGGTGATATTTTTATAATGATTTAGATTAGGGCTCCAGGGGATCATAGAGGATGGGACTGGCCGGAAGGATTGTTAGCAACTTCTGGCTTGGCAAATAGCAGCATGACTGTTGCTGACGAGAGGAAGGTTTTTGACATGTCTAGTCTGTTTAATTCATCTGCAGAGTCTTCAATGCAGCCTCGGAATAATGTTTCCCCTAGTAGACCTCGAGCAATCCAGGATTTTCCTAATCAAATATTTAAAAATGCCCAAATAGCTTGCACTTCAAGAAATTTAAGGCCGACATTGCTGAGTGATAAAGATGGACCAGGGGATGGTTGTCTCTCAAGGTCCTTCCACTTTACCTCCTCTTGTGAGAATTCGTCTAGTTCTGCTTTTCTGAACTTGCAGAGCGTTGGCTCCAAAGCCAACAATAATTCAAAGGATGAAGTTGTTCGCCAGAGAGGTCCTATTTCTTCTAGTGTTGAGTTGAAGCTTGGGCAGCCATCTCAGCTGAGTTGGGGTTCAGGAACTGTTTCTCTACCAGCTATGAGACATCACACTGGTGGAGTCCAGATAACTACTGCCCAGGAGATGCTGAATCAAAACTGTGCGTTAAGAGGACTTTCCGAGTCTATTATCTATGCAAATTAATCTACTATTTATTTATTTTTGATTATTTACATGTTGTAATGCCTTCTCATGCAGTGACAAATGCAAAGGTCTCTGAGAAAAAGCAGCAGCAAATTTTTCACCATTCTGCCCCTGATTCCTGCAGAGAAAAAAGAACATTTGTGTCAGGTCCTCTGAATAATGCTCTAACTTCATTCGTGGCAGGCCCTCTTAATAATGCACTGATTTCTACAAATGGTGCTGCTCATGCGGAACACTTAAAAGATGGGCTGCATATTAATTTTACAAATTCAGTGAAAGTCCCCCCTTCTAATTCTACAGCTGGAGGGAATTTGTATCCTAAGGAAATCAATAGAAGGATGAAACACTGCCATCCTCTCAGTCCTTGGACAGTTCATTACCAACCTCACGTAGACAGGTCTGTATTGATAGACTTTTCATGTAATGGAGACCCACCAATCAGGCCTTTAGACATCAATAAAACAGCTTTACCAAATAAGATGAGCAAAACCATGGATGCTACATGTGGGAATGAAGGATCCAATGTTGGGAGTGGATCAAGCTCTTGGCATTATGCTAAGCCAATGGAAAGCTCAGGTTTTGCTAGAAATGGGGAACCTTGTAATCCTAATAGTACTGTATTGCCTGCTGCAAAGTTTAGCATGTATGGGATGGCGAAGATGTCGTCAGATGTCTCTGGAGCTTCAAACTACGTTAGAAATGCGTGTAACCTGGCAAGCAATCTTGACCGAGATCAATTCTCCAATAAACTGAAAAATCCATCTTTGAATTCTAGAACAAGTTCAACCTTGCACGCAACTTCTACTGATTTCACCCCACTGTCCGCGGCGGCTACAGGTCATGGTTCTTTTAGTAAAGATTTTGAAGCTGTAAACTCACATACAAGAATTGAGAGCTTGAAGCTTCATGCTTTAGGGAATATAGACAAATCATCTAAGGAAAGGCCACCGGATGCTTCCCTTGCACTTGATCAGCAACCAAAGATCCATTCCAACCACTTACAACAAATTGAGAACTGTGGCATTCTTGATTTGAGAGCACAGGGCTTATTTATTGATCAAGGGTCGTTTGAAGCACAAAGACATGGGCGTCAATCTTCTGTTGGACATATTACCTCACCATCCCTCCTGCCTGATGTCGGTCATAATAAAGGTGAGGTTATTAGAAAAGGGACTATGCAACAGGCAACACATATCTTTTATTTTATCCAATAAGAACATAAATAGATTGTTGTGTATTTAGGGGACTTCAAGTAGTGTTTTGTCTTTACAGGTACAAATTCGGGTGCTAATTCTGAAGAGATGACAATATTTTCTAAGTTAACTGGCAAGTATAATGAAAATACTAGTAATCAACAGCCAACGCAACAGTCTGAACTGAGGTTAGCTTTTATTTCATGCAAGCTTTAGTAGTAATAATATATTGAGTAGTTAACTAGATTTTTTTTCTGCGCAGAGCCTCTGCTGATGTTATTGGCTGGTTCTTGTTAAAGACCTTCTAACTGTGCAAAGCTATAAACTTTAAAAGAGCTTCAGTGAAACTATTAAAACAATAGTTCTAAACCCTTAAGTGAATTCTGGAAGTTACTGCAATAAGATTTTAAATGAATCCTGAAAGACAAAAGCAGCTACAAGCTAACAACAGTGGAAGTGTCAAACCAGTCTATAGTTTAGCATCTGTGAGATAATTTTTTGTGGGGACACTTGGAAATATGAGTGCTGCCCCTGTTCGGTTTCAATGTTAAGTAATCTGAACCCTTCTTGAATGGCCTAGTCATATGTGTCCTAGAGTTCATTAAATTGTTATCTTCAGTTTTGATACTTTCTTGATTGTTGCATTTTCTTTGGCAGTGTTGGAAGACAAGAAAACATGGAATGTGACTGTAACGTGGTGCAAGGATGTACTCGAGAATCATCTTCTCATATTTCATCCAGGTGCTATTACAATGTTCAGAAAGTATGCTCAAAGAGAAAGCAGGAATCCAAAGGTAGTGGCTCTATGTATGGTTTAAAGAAGCAAGAAAGCATTGCAATTGTTGAAACCCCTACATATAGTACTTCAAAAATTTCTGATGACTGCGTGTCTAATGAAAAAGCGTTCCGAATAGAGTGCAATCATAAGGAAAAGGAACATAATGTCAAACTAGATTGTGGAAATTCTCAGTGGACAGATGTTCCTCCCAATGCAAATGCAAATTCGAAAATGAGATTTCCGGATGCAACAGCGCATATGTTGGACTCTAGGAAAGAATCTGAAACTTACTTGGAAGAGCTTGCCGCTAAAGATATTTTCAAATCGAACCAGGCAGCTGAGTTGAAAAGGAAAGAATTATTGGACATTTCTTCTGATTGTTCTGCACCAGTTGTTACTCAAGCATCTAATGAGGTCGACAGGATTGATTCTGGTACTGTTGATGGCGGTCATAAAGTATGTGACAATGGCCAAATAGCAGATCAAGGATCATCTGCCGTTTCCATAAGTTCATCTGATGAAGCAATTGATAGTGTTAGAAATTTACAAGTTTCTGATGGTAACACTAGATCTACTGAAGAAAAATCTTTGTCAGTGTTGGAAAATGTAGTTCATCATAAAGAAATTTATGAATTTAGGCAAACATATTCAAATTCAAATGAATTGCAAAGTTTTACAGTGTCTGGAGGTAGTTCTGATGAAAATCCGAATAAGACTCAAAATGAGAATGGATTTAAGTGTAAAAAGAGAAAGCGTACCAATAAATGGAAGATGCTAGGAACAACATTCACCTTCTCAAGTCAGTCTAATCAAAATACATCTACAATGCTTAATGTTAGTTCAAGCTATAATTGTCTCAAGCAGGGAAGGTCTGCCTTGTTTGCAGCCAAAATGCTTTCTCGTAAAAGAGATTGTAATGGGATATATAACATTGTGGAGGGTGAGACCAGTGATCAGGAACCATTGAAGGGAAATGACGACTCCGTTGATATGCCAGAAAATGCTCTTGTCAAAAAGATAAAACAAGTCAGGCCTCCTGAAGTTGTCAAGGCTACCGAAGCTGTAAAAAGATATGCTTTGCACAAACCAAGTTCTGATAGAACTTGGAAGAACAGTGCGAAGGACTGCCAAAAGATGAAGCCTGTTGCTTGTGGAAAGTATGGTATTATATGTGATCAGGAACTAGATATTGACCAATTAAAGCCACCAAAGATTGTTCCTCTGAGCCAGGTTCTAAAAGCTTCCAAAAGACATGCTAAGTTTGAGAAAGAACCGGTGGTGCCTTCAATAAAAAAGAAGAAGAATATCTGCTGCTATGTTGGTAGAGAACGCCATAATGTACCATCTAGTTCCTATCAAGGCCAAGATAGCAGAAACAATAAGGTTTGGTCAGATGCTTCTAATCAGGAGACTCAGAAAATGCACCTGCAAAATACACAACCTGATAATGCTGATGCGCCGGAAGGAGGTGAAATTAATCTAAATACTTCAACCTCTCACCCAGCTTCTGCATCAAAGACCAAGGAACTCCGTATGCGCAGCCTCTATGAGTTATCTATGAGAGGTATCATATTAAAATTTAAGGCTTGCTTGCGTCTTGGATCAATATTCCTCACTCTGGCATCTGCTTTTATATGTGCAATCTTGTAGTGGTCTTGTAATTTCTTGTGGGTGCATGATAAAGGAACAAAATCCATTTGAGCTTTTATGACAATTAGATTTTCTGTGATCTTTCTCACTGTCTAATTGATTAGCTAAGATAGTGCCTTTATATGTAAACAACTCTCTTGGATTCTGATACCATCTCCAGTGGCGGACCCAGGAATTTCCGACTGGTGAGTCACAATCGATAACCAAATATGTAAAAATTTTTTTTTACCAAAATTCCTAAGAAAAATTATTTACAAAGATCATCCAAATAGAAAATTGACAAGATTACAATACTAACTAATAATTAACAAGCTTAAAATTGACCTAAAATAATAATCACAATAATTAACAAACTAATTTATTTATTTATTTTTAAAAAAACTTAATAATTTTTTTGGGCCCTGGCCAGGCACAAGGGCAGGTCCGCCGCTGACCATCTCTGCAATGAACTTATGAATTATGATGCTGCTCCTTTCCCTAGAGATGAATACATAGTGTCTAATGAAATATGACGAATGAGAGTTGTGCTGTGCTCAGGTAGACATAAGGTGTGAGAGAGGTGCTAGCTGACAGATATCTTAAGTGTATTGCTTTTGTATGGTACATTACTTGCTAAATGTTTATCATATATCTTAGCCTTTTAGGTTCCTGAGTTTAATGCTCTGCAGCAATGCCCTCTCTTGTTTTCTGCTTGCTCCCTCCTCGATCTATTCTGGTCAGATATAGGGATCTTCTCTTAAGTGTTTGATGCATATTCTCACATGTACTCTAGTTTTGATAATGTATTATTTGTTATAATGCACTGACAGAGCAATAATTGGGTTTTGCTATAGGTAACAAACTCATAGCTGCAGATATCAGTCGTTCCCAGAATGTAATGAGTGCACAACCAACAGTATGTGGATTGAAAATGATCACACTGAAAGATGCTGAAAGATGTGATGGTGGTAAAAGTAGAGATACTGGTAGAAGGTGAGGAGAACCAGGAGATCATAGAGTTTTGATTCTCCTGAATAATATGCTGAAGCAATGTTTTCCAGTATTAATGCAGATTCAGTCCTGCCATGGCTTTTCTTATCTGATTGGTTTTTGCTTCTTGATTCAGATCCTGTAGAAAACTGCACAGTAGTTCTCTGATGTCAGAAGTGAATAAATTATGCTGTGTGTGTGGAATCTCAAACAAAGACAATGCTAACTGTTTGTTGGAGTGTGGACATTGCTCAATCCAAGTATGCAGTAGTGATTGGAATCTCAGCTAGTTCTTTTTTAGCCTCTTAAAAATATACTGTAAAATTTCTCTCTCATAAATTTACAGGTCCATCAAGCTTGCTATGGGATTTCAAGAGTGCCAAAAGGGGATTGGTATTGCAGACCATGCAAAACTAGCTCTAAGGATGTTGTAAGCTTCTATTTTCAATTTCAGATTTCTAGTTTTTTGTTTTAGTTTTTGGTGTGATTCTAAAAAAGACGCTACACATTATGGGTTAGTGATCACACTAGCTGGATTGTTAGAGGACGATACCATGTTAGAGGACCATCTCAACCAAAAGCTCATGGTATCGGAGCCAACGTGACACATAGGTCACGGGTTCGAATCTCATCCACCCCCCACTTTCAAGTGGAATATTAAGCGCTGGGTATGAGGAGGGCTCATGCTGCATCCATACTTCTAGCCCAATGGGCTCTCGTGTGAGGGGGCGTGATAGAGTATAAAACATATTCCTGGGCCTCAACCATCAGCTTAAGCTTTTGGTTGAGATGGTCCTCTAACATGGATCAATCAGCTCCAAAATTCACATATAACTTATATTTATCTGATTCATTACTTTACGGGCCAGAAGAATGCTATCTTTCAGGGATACATTTATTTAGAATAAAATGCTTTTGACAAAGGTAGGTTTGACTTTCAGTATCAATAACATGTGGGATATTTGTATAAATATAATTGTGGAAGGTGATATATAGATTAGTTTAGGGTACATTAAGCAAAGGCAAATAAATGTATTTTGTTAAGAGTTTTTTAGTGAAGAAAGAGGTAGTATGTCAAATAATTAGGGAGAAGCGATGGTAGCAGTCTATGTAGAACACTGAGAAGACTAATTGCAGATGCATATTGGTCCTTTGAATTTTCTCCCTTTTTCTCTCTCCATCCGTCTGCTGTCACTGCTAACTGAGAATGTTTAATTATTATTGTCACTTGTATTACTTTTTCTTTTATTAGTATCCCTTTAACACATTGACTATTCAAAAATGGAAAGGACCTGCCTAATAAACTGAGCCAGACAATGGAAATTTATATGTTTTGTAGGAAGAAGACTTGTGCAGAGACTGCAGACTGCATAATATATGAAAGGGAGATTGGGAGATTACTATAACAGTCCGTAAACCTATTGAAAATTTAGATTATTTTGATTATGAACCATATACCATTGTGCCAGTACATCTACTTATGTATTCTATGAGAAGAATGCTATACCCCCTCTGTCCCTATATACTAGTTGTTTCGGGTCTGGAACCTGGGGACCTTGTGCTCTGGATGCTTGTGTGCCAGGATTTGCAAATGTCAGCTACCATCGGGGGGTTAACCAAGGAACCCCCCCCCCCCCTCGGCGGGGATGCCTAACAGCCTAAGTCAACTATCAGAGGTGGAAATGTAGATATGTAGAGAGAGTATTATAGAGAGATATAGAGAAAACAAAAAAGGACCCATGTAATGAGGATAGATATTCTCTAAATTCGTTTTTAAAAAAAAAATAGTATTGCAACTTTCCAAAAAGAAATACATTGCTTATATTTATTAGAAAGAATGAAGGAGGTATATGAATTGTTTATGAATTTGGCGGATGATCAAACTTGAATTATTTGAACTTGTATTAAGTTCCTGGTAGTAGTGTGGTATTCAATAATTTAAGTCCTCATTGCAAATACTTATATGTACTTAATTTGGTTGACGTAGAGGTGTCGATTTCCAACCCTTTTAGAAGCAGTAAGAGTCCTATTCCTTGCATAGCTTGCATGGGCTTTTGCTTGGTTTAGTATAACAAGGGTTAAGCATTACTGAAATGGAGGTGCTGCATGAAATTTTATCTTCTTTCAGTTTTAATTGTTTTTGAGGGGTTCCCAAGGGGAGGGTGTGTGTGTGTGTGTTCTTATTCTGTCTGATTTACATCTGTATTGGTTTTAAACAACTTATATTGATGATTTGTCTACTTTAGGCTTGTGTCCTATGTGGTTATGGTGATGGGGCCATGACTCGTGCATTTGGCAGCCGCAATGTGGTGAAAAGTCTTTTGAAAGCATGGGATATTCGAACAGAACCTCATATTATGAGTGTTGGTTCAGCTGAAGCCTTGTATGGTATGTCTTTTCCCTGTGCTATTAGTAGCCATTATAACAATGTCTACTAAAAACCTGTATTGTATGCAGTGCGTTGAGTATTAATTTTAGTAATAATTTCACAGTTCCAGCAAAAATGGAGTGCCGGAAAAATTTGGAAAGTGCAACATGCCATCCCTGTCCTTCCATAAAACCAGTAGTGCATAACAGCATAATATCAGGATTGTTTGATCCAACTGTCAAGCAGTGGGTCCATATGGTGTGTGGATTATGGACTCCAGGAACAAGATGTCCTAATGTGGATACCATGAGTGCCTTTGATATTTCAGGTGTTTCCAACCTTAAAGAATACATGGTAAGCACTTTGTTCTGTAGATGGAGTTTCATACAGTAAAAATCAGACATTACTTTGCTTCATCTCTGCTTTTTTTCGTGATCAAATTTTTAAGTCTCAAATTTTTGACGAAACAATCTATGCAAAATGTGACAGTCCCCCCCCCCCCCATTCTTCCCATAATTTCTTGAGTTAATTTCCTTGTTCCAGGTATGCTATATATGCAAGCGCGTTGGTGGTTCGTGCATACGATGTTATGTTGAGACATGTTGTACTTACTTTCATCCATGGTGTGCTCATCAGAAGGTAATCCTATGCTTATATGGTGCTCCCAGTTAAGTTAATTGATGAACCCTTTTCTTTATGGTAATAATTGTAAAACTCAAACGGACTTCAATCAATAAGTTAATGTCTTCGTTTGCATTTTACAACATCAATCACCCCAATAGGACCCTCTTCTACTGGGCATCCACATTTCCCTCTCTTGAATATAGAATTAAGCTTGGCTACCTTGTGGGCATCCACATTTGCCTCACTTATGAGTTATGACATGGGAATTTAAGTAAGTTAGCTAGAATTTAAACATTTCAAAAATTTAAAATTTCTAAGGGATTAGAGTTCATTGATGAAACTATTATTATATTAAATAAAATTTTCTACCTTTCAGTTTCAATTCTTGCTGGTTTTGGCTTTAAGAAGTTTTATTTAATACAAAGCTTGTCATCATTCAATTTCTGCTTTAAGAATAAAACAAAATGGGAAGGATAAAGAACTAGTCTAGGTGATCATCTGCAAAATTGTCTTTTATGGCCAGTAGTGATTGCCACTTGATTCAAAGGATTGTTTTCTTGAGGTGAGGAAGGTGTTGCAGTTTTTAAAGAAAATACTCTGCTTAAAGAACCAAAACCAACTCTCTGCATGATCATCAACCTATCATTATTATCTTGGTGATATAGATGTTCTCAGGGCATGATATGGAGGCCAGATGTGGTTTGGCTGCTACTTTCATATCATTGATAGTTTGTTCCTTCTTGCTCACTGAAGAGAAAAAAAATAAAAAATTATACGGAAAAAAAGTGTCTGATGATAATCATTGATGGCATCTCAAAGTATCTTACCTTGTTGCTTGCAGGGTCTGCTGCAAAGTGAGGTAGAAGGAGTTGACAGGGATCAGATTGGTTTCTATGGAAGATGCTTGTTTCATGCTGATTCCAGAACTTGTCATTTAGAGAATGATAATGATACTAACAAGGACAATTCTGAAACTGGTCAAGAAGAAGAGCCAACTTGTGCCAGAACAGAGGTACAAGTGTTGTTAATTCTTGGCACTTTATGGTGCAGAATATTTTAGAAAGCTTATGATGTGATTGCCTCTCAACTAGGGATATAAAGGGAAAATCCAGGGAGATGGAGGGCATTATTCTTCCTATCAGCGTAGGGGTAAAGGTGGGTGCCTTGTCACTCAGGTGCAAGTAGACGCTTGGCTTTACATCAATAGACACAAGCTGAGCAGGAATAAGCTGCCTAAACCTTCAGTTTCAGATATAGACCATGATTATCGGGTATGTAAAGAGTTAAACATAATCTCTTTCTTTGTAAATGTGGGATGGATAGCAAACATATATCACAATATCATTTTTCATGTGAAATAGTCATTGCTTAATTTTTGGGAATTCAACAACTGACACAGAAATGCATAAGTGATTATCACAATTTTGTCTTTGTATATGTCTTTGAAACCTTCCTCAAAGGGTTGGATTGTCATTGCATTTAAGTGATGAAAATCAACTAATACATGCATAACATCTTTGCAGAAAGAATATGCTCGATACAAACAAGCAAAGGGCTGGAAACATTTGGTAGTGTATAAATCCGGTATCCATGCTCTTGGTCTGTACACGTCACAGTTTTTTCAACGTGGTGCTATGGTAGGGTCATTCATCCTTGACAAAAAAAATTAAATAATAATAATTAAAAAAAAAAAAAAAAATCTTGATGTGAATTTAATTGCAGGATAATATAAGACATGACTTTTGTACTATGGTTTGGTTGTTATGATCAAATTAGTTGACTTTGGTATCTGCTGAACATGGTTGAGTTCACTTTTCAGATATTGAGCAGCTATATCTGCTGAACTCTATGTTTTATGGTTAATTACAGTGTTTAGACTTGTTGGCTTCTTTTACTGGTATGTTATTCTTTTTACATCTGCATCTCTTAGGTTGTTGAATATGTTGGTGAGATAGTGGGGCACCGTGTTGCTGATAAACGAGAGACCGAGTATCTGTCAGGAAGAAAGCTTCAGTATAAGAGTGCATGTTACTTTTTTAGAATAGACAAGGAACAGATTATTGATGCTACCTGCAAAGGTGGGATAGCTCGGTTTGTCAACCATTCATGCCAGGTAATATGCTGTTTTGGATACTATTGCTTGCCTAAATGTTCCTCCCCATGGAGAAAAAAATATAGAAAGTTTCTTTTGTGCATGCTCTCTTTTTTTGGGGTGGTGGTGGTTGTTTCTGCTCAGTGATTTAATGATCTTTTAATTTAACCTCCTTATCATCCCATATATATATATGCACTTATGTGCTGACTGATTTTGTTCATGTCATTTTCTGTGACCAGCCAAACTGTGTTGCCAAAGTGTTGACTGTCAGGGGCGAAAAGAAGGTAATGGAACAGATTTCTTCTTTATGCTATGTTGCTTTGCTTCATAAAATGTTCATGAGATTGCTTACTTGATTTAAATAGTTATGCATTTGCCAAAATATGTACATAGCAGCAACGAGGATGAATGATAACAAGCCAGCATAACGGATTTGAGAAACCATTCTTTTTATTTGTTACATTATAAGATAATCAGAGATTTCTCTCTTCACATGTTATTGAAATGGCAATTCAGTCAGTAACATCCCTTTCTATCTGGAGGATGACCCTGTTAATCGTCTAGCTAAGTTAAAAAATGCAGATATTCTGAGATGCTTTATATTTGCACTTGCAGGTTGTGTTTTTGGCTCAAAGAGATATTTATCCTGGGGAGGAAATCACTTACGATTATCATTTCAATCGTGAGGATGAAGGTAAGAAAATTCCCTGCTTTTGCAATTCGAAAAACTGCAGGCGTTATTTGAACTAGACAAAGCCGTAAATTCAATGGGCAACAATGTATTTTTCCAGTTATCAAAATGTTGTCTGTTGTACGAATTGCAATTTCAATATCTTGATGTAATTACAAGGGTGATGACGCCTTGTGTTAATATGGTTGTAAATTTACATGTATACTAGTTAATGTTATCGCCAATCTGACATCTGAGTTGGGACAGTGTTCTAATGAGACTTTGGCATACTTGATAACATCCAAGGAATTCAAAAGTCAAAGTCCTGAAACAGATCAACCCAGGAAGAACTAGATTGGAGTTCTGATCTATATTGCTTGGATAGGTCTACCCAAGCATTGGTCAGTAGAATCAGTTGAACCAGAAGATCCTGAATCTAAGCCAGGTTCTGTGAGCTGTGCACTCTGGCCTTTCTCTTAGCTGTTCATTGTGCCTGTGGATTCTTGATCTTATTTCCACTGTTTTGGAGCCAAAACTTCTAGCAATGGTTGATATTTCTTTACATAGGTCATGCTGAGAAGGGCTTTCAACAGAATTATCATAGTGGAAGACTTACTAGGATCTTATTTCATTTTTGATGCTCCGATAAATCGTAACTAAGCTATGATCACTGTTTGGCTGCAATGTCTATAGAAGAAAAGAGAACTCTAGTGCATTCAAAGGAGTTTTCATTCAACTCAATTAAGGATTTTCTTTGTTTTTGACAACATAAGTCAAGGAGAATTAGTGCGCAAGAGTTAACATTCAATTTGCAAAGATACTGCCCAAAACAATTTTTTTTTTTGAAAAAAGAGGGGGGGGGGGGGATCAATCAGGGACAACCTTGCTTATACGACTACTTCATTGTAGGAGTTAGATGTTCCACATAAAAATTAAAATATAACAAAATTAGTGAAAATTTAAATGTTTTCAAACTTTGTTCACAAAGTTCGTCAAGTTTAGACAAGGACTAACAAGTTCATATTACAACCAAATACAGTTTGAAGTTAGATACTGAAAATCAAAATGATGATTCATAATTTGTAAAATGTCAGGCATAGCCTTCCATGCACTTGGGACAATGTACTCTCGTTAGCAGTGGTAGATCAGTACATACACCATTAGTCTAGTCAAAATGGAAATTCAGATAGTACGGAGTAACATTTAAACAAAGATAATGATTGTAGAAAGAATCAATGGGATTGATTCACCATAACTTGCACAAGAAATTCACTATATTAACAAACTTTTCTGAGGAATTTCAGCTTTTTACAACTCACCTATGCACTATTACCTAGGGTGCAAAATCTTTTGTACTTCAGCAATACAAAAATATGGGGTGGCACCTGGCAGTGATTAAAAGGAATGGAAAAAAAGAAACCTCTACTATTAAGGATGATCTATGATTTTGTATAGTTGGATCTATCTTGCATCAACAAAGCCACATTACCTAAAGCAATACAACATTATCACAGTATTGTAATCCATCACATCTCATTATGACTACCAGTTTGGTATGTTTGCTGTTGCCTTGTTCACCATTTTAACAAGCGTCACCTGTAATAGAAAAACAAAACACTAAGAATACCACAGGTAGATTTAAACTGCTAAGAAGCTGATCATTTCAAGTCTACTGTGCAGTTGAAGATCTGAATGGAGTTTTTAACAGCCCTGCAATGGTTTATACAGTTAGCAGAATACAGCTTGGACATTGCACGAGTACATGCTAGTTATAAGTCTTATCAACTTGTCATTAATGTAAGTTAAAAACTTTCTACCAGGCTACTATCAAGATAGAAGGTGAAGTCTTCTGCTCTCTACTGGGTAAGTTTTTTCTTTATACACAGTAGATAAACTCATTCATCACATATAATATTCTTAGTCACAATTGCAATGATGACATACAGAAATTTCAGGAAGTTTAACCTCTTTAACTTTCCGCGTTAAAAGTCACCTAATAACGTCCGTCTGGCAATAAATGTACCTCATGTTCTCAACTGCGCCTTATCTTTATAATCTAATTCTAGCACTAGCTTCCTATTATTAGACCAGATAGGTTTTCCTCTGTTATGACAAAACAATGCTCCTTCATCTTGAAAAACAATCATAATCTTTGTACTTATATATATGACCTTTCATAGCTCCAAACATAGTCACATTTCCTTGCCAAGTATCTAATTTATAAGACAAGGACACGAAACTCGATAAACTAAAACCAATTTTACCAAAGCCTTAAGAGACAAATACATGGCTCCAATGCACGAATGTGTTAGTTCAAAGAAGAGTGGCTTGCAAAAGGAAGACAGCCATAAGGGTGCAGCCAAATGAAAACAATTGCACTGCTACAAATTGAAAAAAACATACCACGCTTTCAGGAACACCGGGTGGTGGCAGTGTCAAGTTTCTTGGAGGTTTAACCTTGTCATAGGATCTCTTGTCAAATCGCCATTCTCCAATCTTTCCATATGTTAGCTTGCCCTGCATTTTAGGATCTAAAAATTTCAAAGGCAATTCAAGAATGCTTTTGAGATACGAAAGAAGGCATGCACACAAGTGAAGACATGCAAATAGTGGGAAGCAGACAGCTTAGGGGAGGAAGGGGTAGGGGTACATACCTTCATATCATAGTCACACCCGTAAGTGTAATGTATGATATACTTTTCTCCCACTTCTGTGTCCCATGGAGGCTGGTTTACATCACAACAGAAAATAATAAGTGTAATGATTTCAATAGATTGTTTCTCATAAAGGAAAAACCATAATGATTTAATCAGAATACATAATCAACTTCATCATCCTAAATGAGAGCATGCACGTTGCCAGCAAGCTTTTTTCTTGTCAACATATAGACAAGAATAGATATGTACAAATCAGTAATTAACCTCAAAATTCTGCTTACACATTAAATAAGAAGCTTAATTAGTTCTAATGAGAAAATCACTAATTTGAAGTAAGCCCGTTATAATCCAATGCCCAAAAGTAGTGCATATGTCAGCTACATAAAAAATGAACTGCAATGATGGACTCTAATTTAATCAAAGGTTTTATATAAATCTTGAATAATAGGTTGATAAGGGCCCATCATCAAAAGAAATATGTAACTTCAGAAGCAAACAGTCAATGTAATCAGAAACTCTATGGTCTGACCAAGAAGCATTATACTTCGTACATTTATTGAAAGTTAGGGTCTGGAAGAAATGTAGAATCCGACTACCCTTGCAAGTGATAGGATGCATACCGGTGAATGGTGTTTATATATATTCAATGAAACACTCAAGCTTCATTGAGATATTATGTGATAATCCAACCAAAAAATTTAACATGTAATCATGTATTATTATCTCTCAAGCAAGTAGTGTGGTAAGCGAGCAAAACATGGGGAAAAATGGACAAGAATAAGATAAAAGCTATACGACATTAAAATAAAAGATATAAAGGTTAAAGCAATAGACTAAACCTGAATCATGAAATCCTTATACAAGATGTTCTTTACACCATGCAGGGCAGACGCGACAGCATAGGCATACCTGCAGATTCATAGGGAGTGAGGCTACAAGACATGCTTTATTATAGATTTATAGTAAACAAATTTATCAACCTACTTTGAAGAAGCTTACATCTCAAGAACCCAACCAAATGCTTTGTCAGTTTCAGAATCCTTCTTCATTCCCAATGAAACATTCATCCACGTGGGAGCTATCTTCTTTAGAGATTCCTGTAAAGAATAGCAAGAGAGAAAAGAAAAGGATGATACTGATCACAATTATATAGACGCATATCTATTGTAACAAAATGAAAAGAACTAGTTACCTTTGCAATAATTACAGGAGAATTTCCAATGGGATCAATTTGTGTTATTGGTCCCTTGTTCTCAGGAAAAAACTTCCGGAGTGCAGCCTCATACTTCTTAGGTTCAATATAAAAGAATGGAAAAGCAGCTCCATATCCATCACGAGATAAATTAGGTATAGGCTTCACAATAATGTGATCTGGCTCTGCCATTAGTATGTAACTGCATTACAGTGAGAAACTGCTAATTAATTATAGAAAGAAATGATAACAGAATCCCCCCCTCCCCAAAAAATTTTTGTTCTCCAGTGGGAGGGGAAGAGGAGGGAGTGAGGGGGGGGGGGGGGGGGTAAGGGATGTGAAAGGACCAAGGAATTTATAATTATCAGATTTCATACTCTTCTTTGATGTCTGCTTGTTCAAGCCATTGTACGAATGCCCAAGGTCTGTTAAGAACAATGTAGCCCTACAAGTTCAAAAGGAGGACATAAACAAGGACAAATGAGATTGGTAGGACTTCCTCTTAAAAAAATATGAGCAGTATTACACATCACACAACATTGACGAACAAATTAAGCGCAAAATAAAAATTTTAAAAAAAATCTTAGCAGGTGTACATGGGCTTTTACACCACATAAAGAAGAATGACTTCCTCTTTTTATCATTCAGTTCGATTACATGTCAATAATGGGGCTCCTCAGCTCAAACTTCTCACAGGCAACCATTACCTAGTTACTTGAATGCATGTGCTTTCATATTCCAAACTAACATCAAACCAGCTTATTGAATTGAACATAAGAAGCATTCACTGCACCTGCATTTAGATAGCATCACCATAATTATTCAAGCCTACAGTCACAATTTACTGGGATACAGCTACATGCACATCTTCCAGAATTTTCACATACAAAGTAGCATCTTATACAGACATGAACTGCCTAAACCTGTATCAACTTAGGTTCTGACTTCCTAAAAAACCTTCAGAAAAATAGGCGAACAACTATCTACACAGCCATCCAAGCAGACTGTACCGATTTCTACACAGACTCAACTTCAATAACTTCAGACTCTCACACTGATCAGCAGTTTCAGCACATGCATAATGGTGAAGGCCCTTCATTATCGTACAGATTTGAACTTGCAAGTTAATATATACCTGATGGAATTCTAAAACAATTTTTTACCAATCACATCTATTGTTTATTTCAAGATCAAACAGATGTTTACTGTGCTCGGGTGATAAGCCTGACTAATCTATCATATTGTCTAACTTCCACAAGTTAAGGCACCACATCCGTGATTCAACAAAATGAAAGCAAGTATATAGTACATTTAAATCATACAATCATTACTTCTCAAAGGACCACAACCGTTCCATCTTCTGCCACTTTCCCCAACCACCACTAGACTTTCTTATGTCCAAATTTTCTATTTTTTTTATGGGATGTCCAAATTTTCTATCTTTTCAACTATTCTGCCATCACAAATTTATGGGATGTAGCCAATTAACTCCACAAACTTCAAACTCAGCAACCTAATCACAAACTCCACTCTGCCATCAGAAACTTACATAGGTTCTATAAAAACCCCCTTCTCCTAACTGTGCAAGTTCCAATACACATTTGCTACCCACCAAGGATCAAGCAATCGTCGATTTGTCAAAACAGAATCCAAATTCACCCTTAAATGAGCTAAATCAACCTTATTTCGTAGTATATTTAACATTTCAAATATGATACTTTTACCTAATATGGAATTTATGGATTCAACTTCAAATCAGTAAAATGAAACCAACAACATTTCTAATTCATAACAAAATCCATCAAAAATCAACCATAAACTTCAAAATCTACCTAACAAAAACAAGATTAATTCCTAAAATTGATCAAAACTTCAACAAAAAAAAGTCAAATAAAAATCAATCACCTGATCCACCCCAGAAGG